TTTTTTTTTTTTTTTGAGTGCTGCCATTAGTAACTGAAACAGGACATTTACTCTGTGGAAACCTTGTCTTTAAATAGCTAACAATACTCACTGCCAGAATAGCCAGAGTGAAGAAGACTCCGAGTACGATGTCAAAACCCAGCAGGAAGTAGTGCATTATTATGGGGAAGCAGGTCTAAACACAGACAAAAAATAAAGTTAGGGTTATAGTTTCTGTAAATCAGCTGATGAAATCAAGAAACATTTTTCAAAATAAAGCCGAGTCACTCACTTGGGTGTAGATGGATGTTGATCTCTCCATTAAAGACTGGAAAGATAGAAAAATTAAAAGATGACTAACAGAGTTACATTTAATAGAAGTGAAGCTGTGTGTGTTGATACTCACTCTGTAGCCAACAGTCTGACACTTGCCCTCTTCCTCCTCCTCCAGGTTGCATTTACAGGATTCAGGAATGTTGTTCCAGTCTTTGTAGCTGAACAGACCACAGCAGTGAAACTAAAATAAACCAGAAGAAACAGGAGGGTTATAGTTGACTGGCACAGATGAGATGGAGAACGATTCTTTAAAAAGTGTGAGAGAGTGTTAAAAGACACTGTCCAGGACATTTCCATCTCCTGCTGTTATGATTAACTGTAATCTATACAACCCATATAATCCAGTCTATGTAATCTGGTCTGTTGGACAGCTCTGGAAAAAGTGAAGGGGGCAGAAATTCTGGACTTTTAATTGTCTCCTCCGTGGTCGTTCATATTTTTCAGCATCTACAGAAATCTCAGTTAAAACAGAAAATATATAAATCTATAACCAGTCGAGATGCGTTCATGAAACCGCACATCTGTATCTTACAGTGAGACAGAGATGAAATGTGTCATTAAACTTCTTTACACTGACAGAAAGGATAGTTTCTTCAGACCAAAGCTTGCTGTATGTTGACCTCAATGCAAAAATATGTTTGGAACCTCTGATTTACATTGTGCCGCAAGAGAGGAAGTTGAAACTTCTGCTTTTTACCGAGATTCAAAGTAGGGCTATGGTTTTGATTCTAAAGGGAAGTCAGATACACATATCATTGTCACGGTCCTGGGTCTGTGACCCAGTGTTTTCTGTTTTGTATGGTTAATCTTTGATTTGATGATGTACAGTGGGGCAAAAAAAAA